GATGAAGAAATACTCAATGAAACAAACCAATGACAGAACAGAATTAAACCTAGGCCAAATTCGTTCAACTAATAAGAGATCAAAATTAAAATTAGTGCAACTGCATCAATCAAAGAAAACATTGATTTGGCCAATCAGATTGAATCCAAGAATGAAATAAATAAAAAGGAAAATATAGTTGATTGATAGTCTTATCCTAGTAGTGAAAAAGAATGAAATAAATAAAAAGGAAAATATCCCTATAAGCCGTTATAGAGCATAGTGTACGGTGATCTTTAATGAAGCCTCTATAGTTTTAAGAAAAAATTACATTCAAATCCCATATAAAAAAATTTATTATGAAAAGGTCTTATGAAATTTATAAAATACTCTTAAATATCAAATTATACACATTTACAAATTAACTAAGGACATTGACAATAGCCATTTACAACTTATAGAAAATGATAACTTGTAATTGTAAGTTATAAATGACTGTTGTCCACTTGTCAATACCCTTAATCAAGTTATAAATGTATAGGATTTAAGACTTTGGAATATCTTGTAAAATTTATATGATCTCTTGGTAGTAAATTTTTTTATATAGGACCCAGATGTAATTTTTCTTAGTTTTTAGTTGTTTTACTCGGGTCCTTATATTTTAAAATGTTACGTCCGTTAGTCCTTCCCCTCTAACATGGTTTGAAAATTGCTGATGTGGCTAACAAATATCTCCACGCAAGCATCCAGGTGTGTTGCCTGTATGGTTTGATGAGAGAAGCAAATAAATACACGGAGTTTTGCAGCGTTTGTGAAGGGGATGAGAGATTCCTCTTGTTGAGTCATGAATAATAATGTTGCTTGATTTTATGATTGTCAAGAACGAAATTATTCCACCCAACAACTTTTAAACTATTGCATACAACATTCATTGACACTTGTGCATAAAATTCGGTGGTACTAGTCACTCCCTGCTGATATATCTCTGTAACTCAAATCTGTCACTTGTTGGTTTTCATTGAGCCCAACTTTCATTTTTGTACATTAAATATAAACTAGTGATAGTGGAAAACCTCATCATTTTCCTCTCACACGGTCCAATTTTCATGGAGTGACCAAACACAAAAACAAAAAAAAAACAAGAAAAAAGGGTTCTAGTTTATTATTGCGTGTTAACTCTGTTAAGGGAAATGGAAAAAGGGGGGGAGAGGGAGGGTGAGAGAAGGTACTCAGGCACTTCACAATTTTTTTTTTTGAATATAATGCCACAGCAAAGCCATGCAAGAGAGATAAAAGTCAAGTCATGTCAAGAACCTTAATTCCTACAATCAGACAATGGATTATCAAGAATTGTGATGTTTAAATTGTACAAAGATGGTTGATAGGCTAGCAAATCAGTACATCTGTTAGCTTTTTTATATAAGGCACTTGACATTTTAAAGTATAAAAGTCCAATTAAAATTATTGAAACCTGATTAAAAACTGAATATAAACTATAGAAAAAAAATATAATTTTAGGTCTCTACATTTTGTTATGATTTGCAGTTAGCTTCTGTATTTTTTTTTAGTATTTTAGATTCCTATACTTTTATTTTTTTTGAAGGGGCTTAAAATAATAAAAAATAAAAATGTAAAAACTTCAAACAATAAAAAAAGTACAATAATCAATAATAAAATGCGAGCAAACTATAAAAATTTAAAGTTATATTTTTTTAAAATTGTAAGGACTTATAGGTATGTTTTTTCTAAATAAAATAAAAGAGCAGGCACAGGCAATTTCAGGAGGCTTCCAAAGTTTAAGGCCGCGTTAAATGGTGATCCCATTATCAACCTCCTCCTCGTCTTCATTTTTAAACTTATACATAAGAGCTTTCGAAAGATATTCTTTAAAAAAAGTTTAAAAATTAAAAAATTTAAATCTAAAATGTTTAAAGTAAATATATATAATTAATTTATAAAAATTATAAAATTTTAATATTAAATTTATATCATTTAAATTAAGTTTAAATTGCTTAGATTGGTGATAAAGCATATTTATTAACATTTTTAAAATGTTAGTTTTAATAAAAATTAGAAAAAACTTTTAATTTCAACGATTCAAACCTTATCCTAATAAACAACACATCTACATCCCTTAGCTGTCTAGGCGAACTCGATTTCCCTGCTCAACGCCAAAACATTGTTGTTTTAGAGTTAATTTTTTTTTCTTTTTTCTTTTTTATCGCAAAATTATTATTATTATTATTATTATTATTATTATTATTATTATTATAAAATTTTTATTTTAATATGTAATTTAACCACTTAAAATTTGACTTGAACCATTTAGATATAAAATTTGACCTGAATAGCTTAAAACTATACTGAAAAGAATTAGGAAAAAATGACCTGAATAATTTAGAATGGGGTTGAGTCTAGCAGAATAAACTAGTTCATCACAACATGATAAACTAATTTTTAAATTCCTATTAAGAGAGGTACTTACACTCGACCATGCCTTGAATAATATTACTTCTAATAGATGAATATATGTGCAAAATCAATAAAATTAAGGAAAAAATTTAATTACAATTCTCATTTTTTTAAGTATAGTTCTAAACTGTTCAAGCCCAATTTTAATGAGTAAAATTTATTTATTTATTTCATATTAAGATACTAATTTTATAATAATAATAATAATAGTAATAATAATATTTTTTTGTGTTATTTAAAAAGAGAAAAAAAAAATTAACTCTGAAACAATAGAGCACTGGTGCCATAGTTGTGAAACTTTCAAGTTAACTTTTCAAGTTTAACATTTTTACATTTCTAACTTATAAAATTATGACAACTCACTTATGAACTCGGACTAAATATAAATTCGATTAAACTTGTGAGTTTACCTTTGAGTTTACCATTTTTATATTTCTAACTTATAAAATTGTGTCAATTAATTCATAAACTCAGATTAGATGCAAGTCTGATTAAATGTGTCAAGCTTGTTAATTTTTTTTTTAATTGAATTATTTAAATATATGCTATGAAGAATTTGATTCATAAAAATTATAGGACCAGTTTAAAGGAAAAGCTTAAAATGCAAAAACTAATATTAATAGAAAATAAAACAAAAAATATCAAAAATAATTTTTTCTAATTTAAAATTTTTATGTTTTGTATGTAATAATTTATCAATGTAGATGAGTTTAATTTTAATTATTGATATTTTAAATATATTTAAATTAAATTATAATTATATTTTAATGGCTATTTATTAATATAGAAGCAAAATCTTACGAATTTACAATTCAAGTTTGCAATTTGAGTTTATATTCTTATTGTGAATATACTTAATCTCATAAGTTTAATGACCTTGATTGGTGCTGAGCATGGTGCTTATCTTAAGAGAGCACAAAAACTAAATCCATTGCCTAGCGTACGTAAATTCATAACTTAGGAAAATCTTTTCATAACTTGACATTGATGAATTAGTTAAGATCAATGGGCTTACAACTTGTGAAGACTTGATTCGTGACTCTCATAAAATTTAGATTAAGAGTCCATTTAATTTCAATTGGATATAATAAATTATGAAAATAACTAATTAAATAATAGATTTTAATCGTATTTGATTGTGTTATAATGAAATCTACTTGAATATAGTTTTTCTAAAATTAATTTTAACATAATTGAAGATGTTTGGATAATTTATTCAAAATTAATTTTATTTGTATAAATTACCATAAAGGACATTGCCTTTCAAAATTAAATTATTAATAAATTTGTATATAATATTATTAAAGTTGTTACATTTTAAGAGTAAAATATATTATTTAAATTACATATCTAATTAATAAAAAATTTAAATTATATTAATATTAGCATTTAAATTTATGTAAATAAGTAACTCAAGATATTTTAGTTAAAATAAATTTAATAAAAAAATATTTAATTTTTAAATACCAAACATTGATTTTATAATAACTAATGAAGATGATAATATATAAATTAATCTTTAATGATATCACAAGTATGAGTTATATCTAACAAAGATATTAAGCATTGCCTTGAAATTTTACCAACATAAGAAATTTAACAATATAACAAATGCAAAATCTCTCTTTCTTTATGAACCTTTGCAACAATCTTTGTAATGATTCTAAATTTTAAATTACATTAAATTAAATTAATTTTTTCTGCCAATTAATATTTTATTTGAATTGATGTTATAGTAAGTGCTAAGTAGAGAAGGGTGATTGATATGAACTTATGATAGCAATTTTTTTGAAAATTCAAAATCTGAATTTTACTTAAAAAAAAGGAGAATAGAGAAAAGAGTTTGATTTTATTTTTATTTAATATTGAGCCTTTTTTATAATTTTTTCTTGGACCTTTTCTTTAAAATTTTCTCTAATGTTTTTTGATCAATTTTTCGCATAAACTCATTCAGAGAGCTTATGAAAAAAACACGCGTTTAAGTCCCATAATTGATTTTTGGTTCTTTTGGCTGATTGGATAACCTGGCTCGAAAAATTAATTTTGGGCTATTTAATCGATTTTGATCCTTCTCCAAACACACACCAAGAGATTTTTCAAATATCCCAATTATGACACTAAAGCAACTATTGAACTTCCAGGCATTTTAGAAGAAATCAAGTTTTGTTGAGGTATTAAGCTAATCAAATTTAATATCTACTCAGACTCCCTTGAAAGCTTTGTCCTCCCAAAATCATCCTTTTTTTAATTATATCAAGAAAATTAAAAATTTTATTATGAGAAGTTAGACAATTACTTTTGAACATATTTTTGGAAAGTAAATTGATATCAATTTACTCACCAAAGATCCAATGATAAACTTGACTTAATGATTTTTTAGATACAAAAATATCATATATTTTGATATGATTAGATAAGTTTTCTACTTGCACAAATGCCCTGTGGTCATTTGTTTCAAAAACGGAAAAAAAAAAAAAAAGAAGCATACCAGAACACACGTGCAGAACGAGAAGAAGATTTAACACAAGAAAACAAAAAGACTTGCAACATTTTAAAAGCGAAATTATGATTTATGAATTATTGAAACACAGATAGTTTCATCTGCCTCTTGCTGTAGTTGAATATCAAATAGACTCTATCTCCGATCGAAAGAGTAAAGCAAATTGTTCCATCACATTCTTCTTCAGAACGAGTCCAACTTCCACCCCTCCATTACCATCTTTACTCTCTGCCATCGCCATTGTTATATTTCTGTCCACCGACGTTATCTCCACCTTCTCAGGCCTTCCCCATCCAAAGTCCACTCCATAAACCCCAAACCGGGTTGACCCGGCTACTCCTATGCATATAGCTCGGTTCTCTTCATCTTTCACGTAAGAAAACGTTGAGAACAACGTCTCTGCTCCATCAAGCACACCGTTCTCTTTCTGCATTTTCATTATCTTCCCGTATACTTTCTTAGCTGCTATCACTATCCCATCTTCATTGGTAAGGTTTTCGGGAAGTGTTTCTGTCACTTGAGACATCACGCAATTTCCAAAATAGTTTTCAGGGATTGGAGGCTCTAACCTGTTCCTGCAATCAACTACGAACCCCAATAACACTTTCTTTGTCTTCTGTTCAGCTATTTTTTCCATGGCTTTGGCGAAGCAGACCCAAACATAAGCAGTTGTGAGCACAAAGGTTGATAAAGTTTGAGGCTTTGAAAGTGCTAATGATTCTACTGTGATCTCTTCTTTCACCTTGTCAAGACTCTCCCATTTCTGTAATACCCTTCCCTTTATCTTCTCCAAAACTCCACGTCTGAGATCGAATATGGCTCGATCCGAGTCGTCCACTTTCGGCGGGAACACTTCGGACAAAATCTTCAAGCTTGGCCGGTTCTTCTGAGTCTGATCATTGGGATCTAAACCTGATGATGACCACGTCCACCCATTAATGTATGCAGAGGCAATGCCACGTGGATCGAGGATAACTTCCCTGTCTAAGAATGGTTGAAGTTCTGGTGGAAGCAAACCAGAAGAAGATTCACTCTCTGCATCGGCTTCTGTTATTCGACATAGATAAGCCCAGGCCTTGATGAACATAGATGAAGATTTTCCATCCGAACAGGCATGGTGTGCGGTGATGCCGATGCAAAATCCACTGTTGGGAAACAGAGTGATTTGCAGGGAAAGAACCGAAGCAGATGAATCAGATGAATCTAAGTTCGGCACGAAAGCACGAGACTCGGACGCGTCGCGAGGTGAGTTATCCAAGAAATGGCTGAAATCAGAATCAGAAACTGCTATGGTGAGAGAGACAGCGTCTCCTGGAGTGTATCGGACGATGGGTTTGACTGAGTCGGAATCGGAAGGCCAAACGATATTTCCGGCAAAAGGAAGAAAGTGTTGGAGAGCGAGAGAGAGGGAGCGTTTGAGCTTGGGAACGATGGAATCGAAGAAGGAAGAAGATTTTAAGTGAGGAACAGAGAAGCAGAAGAGACGCTCGACAGGATGAAATCTGAGCCAAAGCAAGTCGAAGAAGGAGAGAGAGAAAGAGGACTTGGGTGAAGATGGTGGCGGAGCTATTCTGCAGAGCTCATGTATTTTCAGGGAGGGATTGGAAGACGCCATGGATTTCGAGTGAAGCTTCGTGAACGTTATCCGTATACAGACTAAGAAACCGCCCCTGGTTTGGCAAGTGCGAATAGGCGCATCTTAAGATGCCATTTATTTTCATTTGCTGTGACCTTTTCCTCTCCGTTTCCTTCATCCTCACCCTTCAATTTGCGCCCCTCTTATCTGACCCTTCAAAATGCCAACTGCAATCCAAATCAGTGCCTTGACCAGGAAAAAAAAAAAAAAACCAGTTTTGGATATTTTTATTAAAATAAGCAGCGTTATTTAAAAAAAAAATGCTATTGCATTTTTTAAAACTATTTAAATAAAAAAAATTTTTCTTTTATTTTAAATTAAAATTATTATGAATTTAATCATTGAAGAATAACTATGGTTATCTTTATTATACTATTTATAAATAAAAATATTAAAGGAAAGATATTAATGTACATATGTAAATATATTATTTATAATTTGGAAAAAGGTCCCTACCAAAAAAATTTAAAGACCTTTTCAGTGAGTAAAATCAATATTTACATTTTCCTAATGCGATTTTCTTTACGTAACATATAGACTGCATCTTTCACATACTCTAATAATAAACTTCACTTTGATTTTATGTTTAATATTGAATTAAAATTATAAATAATATATTTATATATGCATTAATATTTTCCCCACTGAAACAGTTTTAAAAAGTTATAAATTGATTGAAAAACGTAAAAAAATAGTTTTACTTACTGAAACAGTTTTGAACATTTTTTTAGGAACAGTTTTTTATATTTATAAATAATATATTTATACACACATTAATATCTTCCCGAATTTTAACATTTTTATTTATAAATAATACAATAAAGATAAACACTGTTATTCAATGATTAAATTCATAATTGGCAAAAAATGATTAATTTATAATAAAATATAATCTATTTATATTTTATTTTATTTTGATCCTTTAATTTAATAAAATATTTTTTTACTCATTTAATTCTTGTAGTGTTAGTTTCATCAATAAAAAATATCTTATATTAAAATTTTAGATATTAAAAAATTTTAAATATTGACATATTAAATTTAATTTTTAAAAATAAAAATGATTGATAAAGAAATAATCATTTGAGACTAATAGTATTAAAGTTAAAAGATTGAAAATATAATTTATAAAATTAAAAAACTAAACTAAATTTTAATTTTAGTTTAATAATTTTAATTTAAAAAAGACTAAAATTTTAATTTAAATAGTTTTAAAAAATGTAATAGCATTTATTTTTTTAAATAAAACTGTGTTTATTTTAATTAAAAAGTTCAAAACCATTTTTTTTCCCCTGGTCAAGGCAGTTAACAATATTGGATTACAGTTGGCACTTTGAAGGGTCGGATAAGAGGCATGCAAATTGAATGGTGCGGATGAAGGAAATGGAGAGAAAAAGGAGAAAAAAGAAAGGAAGACACCCCTTTCCATGAATGTATAGGGCTCATGTAATAAAGGGAAAAATAAAAAAGACGATGGAAGCAATTCTGATTTTAAATTTTTAAAAGATTATAATTTTTTGGTTTTTTATTATAATAAATATTTTATTTTTTATAATTTTTAATTGGAAAAATGAAAAAAAAATACCTTAAAAATATACTAATAATAATTAAGTACTCCAAAATATGATATTCCCTTTGTTAAAAAAAATGTAAGACATTTTTTTAAGAGTTGAATATTAAAAAATGTAAAGTATTTTTAGTGTTCCAAGATATAATTAATGTGTTTTTCCCCCAAAACTATCATTAATGTTATGAATATTAGAATATTATGTGGATGTCCATTATCTCATATTCTCCAATATTTTTCGATTACCATAATATATTTCAGTTATTATTATCTTATATATTTTATTTACTTTAATTGATATATTTGTGCCTATAAATAGAAGTCACCTTAATTGTATTCTACACACTAAAAATAAAAAAACTCTCTATTCTTTTATTCTCTCAATATAGTTTTCTTTCTTCTCTCCTCCTATCAATCTTTATTTTCATAACACGTTATCAATACGACAACTCTACTCTTTGCATCACTAGGTGAGTGCCCTTACAATTATTAGATTAGAGATTAATGATCATGCCAATGAACATCTTTAATAGAGATGGACGCATAGTCAGTTGAACATTGAGCAAATCTCTATCATTCATGTACTCTTGTTATTTATGTTATTTATTAAATTTATTTTTGTTCAATTATTTTCTTCCCTCTCAATCAATCAAATAATTACATATTGCATTTCACATCCAAAGGTATGAAGCACAATTTAATTTTAAATAGTGGATCTTGAAGTTATCCAAATATAATAGAAAGTGGATCCTGAAGTTATCCACATTTAATATACAATGAATCCTAAAATTATTCACATAGAAAATATAAGGTGGATCTAGAAGATTACCACATATAGTATAAAGTGGATCTAGAAGATTATCACATAGAATATAAAGTAAATCCTAAAGTTATTTACTTATTATTATGGATACTAATTTTATTCAAGTAAAATATAAAGTGGATCCAGAAGTTATTTACATAAAAGATGAAGTGGATCTTGAAAATATCCACAAAATTTAAAGTGGACCTTGAAGCTAATCATAAATATCAAGTAGGTCATGAAGTTATCTATATTTAAATATATATATATATATATATATATTATTTTCTCTTATTTGGTTCTTTTTAATACTCTTGCAATAAAATTATTAATAGCCATATTATTTTGATTATAGCCTGAAGCCATATCACTTTAAATTTTTACTATTTTATAAATGATCAACTTATGGTCATGATAAATTATATGACTAGAAGTTATATTTAATTTTGTTATTATATGGCTATAAGCTATATTTGATTTTGTTATCATATGATCAGAAGTTGTATTTAACTTTATTATTGAATGGCCAGAAGCCATTTGTAATTTTATCATTAGATGGCCAGAAATCATGTGATTTTATGATTAAATGACTAGAAGCCAAATTTAATTTATTTGTGATTATATGACCAGAAGCAATAGTTGATTTTATTATTATATGGCCGGAAGTCATCTCGATTTTTATTATGACTATAATGTGAAAGGATAATCTTATGATCCTAATGAATTCATATAAACTTTGTAGAATTTTGATGGGTATATTGACTACCACGGCCCTAAAGGCTAATAGTTCAAAATAATTTGTTGGGTTTAAGAGATTATTTTTCTATAATCTTGAAAATTATAGTCAATAGAGTTTATATTACAAAAAGTATGGCCTGTAGCCATATAGACACATTATTTATCATTTATTGAACTGGAGGAAAATGTCAAAGAATGATTATGCTGGTTTAAAGAAATATATTCACAAAGTGTTACAATCAAATATTCAATTATTATTGTGTTTACATGTTGACGCAAGTGTTAATCTATAAATACTTATAAGAATGAGTGAGCTATTTTCCTACTTCTACGCATATGCATATTTCAAATTTTAATACATATTTGATATTAAAATTGTTTTTCTCATGGTATATGAAGATATATTTGATAACTCTTACAAACACATATTGATGACTTCCAATATTTTATTGAATTTATTGGTATTTTTAATGTAATTGGAAGTTATTTATTGGAAATTTGTTAGCAAAAATATGATTAAGTAGATGAATGTGTGTGAAAATGGGTTTGGAAATGTGTTAGAAGTTAGTGGATCAATTCTATCATTTATTCTGGGTTTTATGCATATAGGGAAGCCCAATTTAGAGGCCCAAAGAAGAAAATTTCAGAGCCCAAGTTAAAGGAATTAAATCTAAAAAGAAAATCTAAACAAATCATGTTCGCTACAATAAAAAGCGTTTCACTGCAGTGAAGTATGATTTTAGTAAAATGCATAGTTTTGATTGTCAGCAAACTTTTAGAGCTTGGGTACATTATTTTTGACCATTTTTCACCTCCAACAGCTGCAAAATGTCTAGAAAGAGGGAAAAGAGCTAAAGAAGGGTTGGAGAAGCTTGGGTTTGGTGGAAAATCAATGGTTTTGCTCAAGATTGATCCTATTAAGCTTTTCTTCTCCTTCTTCTCTTTACTTTACTATATATATTTCTGATTTTGCTATCATAGAAGCCATGTGTGGCTGATTTTCTCTTAATCTAGGGTAGCTATGAACTGATTCTTGGATTAGAGTGTAAAATCCAAAAAATTTTAACCCTAATTTATTAACTTAATGAGGGTAATTAGTGAATTAACGAGGTATGTGGCTAGAGGGGCTTAACTTGGCATAATTGTTATGATTTCAGCCCTAGAAGTGAGTCTGGGTCGATGGCGAGCCATTCGAGCAAGGAAAGAGGAGGAAAAAGTGAAGAATTATTTTCTATGCCACACATCATGATGCACGGAGACAATTTAAATGTAACAGGCTCTTCTGTGCCATACACTATGGCAGAGGGCATCATATGCCACGGCACATGGTCAAAAATCGGATAAATCAGTTCATGAGCTATGTGAAAACAGAAGAGAAAAAGAGGAAGAAAATGAAGAACTCAATTTTGGCTCTGCTAGGGCACAACTTTTGGTTTCATTATTGATAGATTGAAGCTTCCAAACACCCAAGATAAGATTACAATGTCTTCTTATTGTTTTCCCTCCCTCATTTGTAATGATTTATGTTAGGGTTTAAGTTGGGAGATGGATTTTTGATCCATAAGAGTATGGGTATGATTCCATTGGTTAAAATAAGTTAATGGAAGTTGTTTAATGTATTGGAACACCACATTTATGATTTTAAAAGTGGTTGGTCTATGGGAGAATTTAATACCCAAAAATTAATATTTATGAGATAGTTGGGAGAAGTTAATGTGCAATAATGATGGTTGAAGGTGTTATGAATAATAATGTGCATTAATGGAATCTAATAAGCCCATTGGGTATGAATGGGTAGTGATTATGAGTTGGTTAAAAGTAGTGTATGTGGAGTTTTATGTTGATAAAGTTTCAAGAGTTAGATAATGATGATATCCTTGTGATATGGATGTAGAGAGGTTCGTTTTGGCACCATTCGAGTTTGTTGAAATTTTGAAAAGTTGGTATAGTGAGGGATAATCCTTTGACCTCTAAAAGGTTTGAGGTAACTCGGGAAAACTTAATTTTTATAGTTGAATGTTAATTATGTTTGTAAAATGTAATTTATGAGTTAAATTGATGATGCATATTAGCAAAATGCTTGATTTGTGAAATGGTTTTTGGAAAGAAAATCTAGATTTTACCACCCTTGATATTTTGCAAAATTGATTGTGATTTATTATTATAGGTGGAGAAATTGCAGTGAATTATGTGTTAAATTATGGAGCATTTGTGTTATGTGAGTTCATATGTTGAGAAATGATTGTTAAAATACATATTATTGTGAAATGTGCATAGCATGATCATTAGGGAGAGGAGTAGAATTGGTTGACATCTACATGGTATTGGCAGTGACCGTTGGAATTAGGAACTAGCCTTGGCATCGACCGTTGGAATCGGGAGATAGCCCTTATCCCATGGTTGTTTCGGGATTGTCCCACTTATTCTATGAGGGACTTGAACCTAACTAGTCTCCACCAGTTTATGAGGAGGCTAGATTAGGGGTACAACACCCCATGGTTGTTAGTATTGGGGGAAACTAGATTACATAAGTGAGTGAGTTCACCCTGGCCCAATAGCTCCTGACAAGTGGAAGGCTAGGTTAGTTCGTGAAGGATGTAGCCACGTGATAGCCACCGGTTTCGTGTCGGAGATAATAGGAGGATATAAGGTTGGCAAATGATCATGCATATAAGTCCGACCACATAGTTGTTAGTTTTATGGTTCGGCATGTATTAAGGGTGCATGGTTGTTATTTTTGTGACCATGGGTTATGTTTTTGCAAAATAATATGATATAGTGTTTTGTGGCAAGCCTGGTTATATGGTCGTTAGTTTTGTGAACCGTGGCCTAATGCTATGTGAAATATGTGTTTATTTGCCTAATCGCATCTATTTACAATTAATATGCAACTGTAAGGGTTAAGTATAACTTGGTTACTAAACGATTGTACTCACCTCTCAATTCTCAATATTTTTAGGACCTAGCTTACAGATCTAAGTCAGGGAAAATATATAGAGGCTTAGGATTGGTGGAGTAATCCTCTATATGCCTCTCTTTTGCTATTTACATGTGTATTTGTTAATGTGTTTGCCAACTAGAATTAATTGTCATGATTGGTGCACTACTTGCATGAATTTGTATTTAACTAGTGTACTTTGTGCCTTGGATTAGTGAGTTTTTGTTGTGAACTCGTTGATAAGGCCAAAATATTTGTGCAAATAAAAACATATGAAATTTGAGACATTTAGAATGAAATGGTTGATTTTGTGCAACTTTTCCTCCCCCTTTATGTTTTGTAAAAATCGAGGTTGAGTGGTGATTTTATGAAATAATCACTTTTAGTTGAGTGTGGTGCATTGCATGAGTTCACAAGAGTCCGTTGAGTATGATCAGAGGGTTGATGTAAGCTATTGGCATGTGTGATTGAGTTGGGACACTCCATTTATGAGATTTTGTAAAAATGTGGTCAAGATAGGTTTTGGTATCCAACTTTTTATAAAAGATGAGTTTGAATGTGAAACATATGCCATTAGCTAGAGCTAGGAGAAAGCTCCGTGCAGACACTAAAACTACCTCAATCAGACGTCATACGAAGATTTAGGATGCATTGAAAGTTCGCTCCCTGTGCTATCAAATGACAACATTGATCTATCAAATTTCGTGCAATGCGCTGTGGTGCACGAGCCGTAAGCCACAATGCATGTGTCAATTTCTGTGTGAAAATCTATTTTGAATTTTACAACTCATTTTTTTGTCCCAATTGATTTTCAAGCTTTCGCTTTATTTTTAAAACTTTGATTTAGAGTCCTTAAATTATATTTGAGATTTGAACTGTCGAGATTGGGATTCCCTTAAAAGATTTTTGAGAAATTCTCTTTTTAAAACCTTAAGTTTGGTAATCCTCAAGGGTAAAACCTTGGATTACCATGATTTAGAGTTAATTATTGTTTAACCTCAGGGAAGTTACATAGAGCATGTTTGAACCATTTATTTGAGTTTAATATTAGTTTTGTTTACTTAATCTTATGCTTATTTGTCTACTTAATGCATGGCCACCATTAAATGTGAATCTGGGCATTTAGGTTTTGCCTTGGAAGAGGGAAATCTAAATTTGATCATTAGATTAAGTAATGTGAAATTAAAATTTATTCTAATTTGCCAATCGGATAGGAATATACCTATTGGACCCATATAATCACATTAGAATGAACTTGTGCCATTTTTCCTCTTAGTTAATTATGTTAGAATAGCAAATTAATTCAAGAGAGGGGTGTAATTAATCAAAAGATAGTTATTCCTATTAATACTCTAGATTAACAAACTAATATTAAGTGAATTTATTTGGGTAATTACATGCTCTATGAATTGAAAAAAGGTTAGCCACCCTAGGTTGTCTTGATTATTTGTGGTTGTTGGAATTTTAATTTTAATGCATTTTTCTAATTTCAATCCTTATTTTTAAAAAATCAAATCCAAATCATGCCTTGCTCAACTTAAATAAAAATGAAAACTTTATTGCTTAATTATCAATTAACTTGATTCCTCATGGGATCGACCTTGATTTACTATTACTAATTACGAACCATACACTTGTGGTAAAACATAATTGTCTGCATCAAGTTTTTGACGTCGTTGTCAGGGAATCTAGGCAATTGGTGGTCAGAAATAAAGGACCTTGAGTAGTTTTGGCTCGAGCATTTATTTTGTCTTTTTTTTCCATGTTTGTTTAGTTAGATCCTTGATTTTCTTCTTTGTTCTTGTAGGTCTATTTTGTATGCCACACAAGGCTAAGTCAAAAAAGACACCTATCAGAACAAGGAGTCTCAAAGAAATCTTGGAAGCTATTTTACCTCAAACTCAACCTCCAACTAGTGAAAAAGTTACAAATGAAGAGATGGCTGAGGATGATAATGATAGGCTGTGTGTTACTAATTTCTTGGGCAGACAAGTTAAAGGATACCAGTCTGAGATTAAAGTACTCGACTTTCAAGCAAACAAATTTGAGATTAAGCAAACAATACTTAAGATGATTAAGATGAAAGGGCAATTTGTGGGAAATCAAGATGAGGATCTAATAGACATTTGGTGAACTTCCTTGACATATGTGACTCATTCAAGCAAAATAGAGTTCCTCAAGATGTCATCCGTCTTCACCTTTTCCCTTATTCTCTACAAGGTAAAGCTAAGGATTGGCTTAATAATTTGGATGAGGGTAGTGTCTCATCATGAGAGGAAATGGAAAGCAAGTTCAGATCTAGATTTTTCCCACACAACAAGATGGTCGATTCTCGAGCCAACATTCTTAATTTTAATCAATAGTTTAGTAAAAATTTGTATGAAGCTTGGGAAAGGTTTAAGTAATTGGTGAGGCAGAGTCCTGGGCATAATCAAGAGAAATGGATTTTGATTCAAGTTTAGTAGCCAATTAACACCTAAATCCAAGTCTGAATTGAATTCAATCACTAATGGCAAGATTACAAAGCAACCAGTGAACTATGTTTAGAATTGTTTAGATGATCTTATTGTTGATTACATCTAGTACAACAATGAGAGAAGACCCAGGAGACCTCTAGAAAGAGTTAATGATGACTCTTCATCTTTACAAGTGGTAGCTATGCTTCAGACTCTAGCTAAAAGATTTGACTGTCTAGAAGCACGTGTTGATCAAAATCATAGTAGGCCTATAGGAGTTCATGCCATATATGCTCAATGTGATTATTATGGAGATGCACATGCTACTGAACATTGCCATCTTTCTCAACAAGTTGAGATGGTAAATTTTGTTGGGAATTATCATGGTAATAATCAAGTAAATCCATTTTCAAATACTTAAAATCTTGGGTGGCATCAAAATCCTAATTTCTCTTGGACAAATAGTACAACTCTAAATCAAGCTTTATCATTTGGTGTAAGGCTAACTAATCCTCCTAGTTTTTCTCAAGTTGGAAAGCAAGTTATGCCAACACAAGAGTTAAGAGTTAACTTGGAAGATGTGATGGCAAAGTTGGCGGAATCCCATATCAAGAATAGTTAGGAACAGGCTACCATAAATGCAAGGGTTGACTCATCTCTCAAAAATATTGAAATACAAATTGGCCAGTTAGCTACTATTATAAATGCCTCGAGACAAAGTGGCTTACCAAGTGATGCAATTCAAAACCCATGACAAAAAGAAAAGAGACCTATAGAAGAATGCAATACTATCATGATAAAGAATGAGAAAGAACTAAAGGATAGCTCATTGAGACCTCAACTTGTTGAAGAAAGGAAAAACTGAAATGATGAATTTTGAAAATGAAGGACAAAGTCAAGGATTATCTCATGGTGTCAAAAATAGTGAAGAATTTGTTCAAAGGAAGAAGGACAATAAAGAAGAAGTTCACATAGGAGGTGAGAAGAGGAAGAAAGAAAGTGCACTAGAAATAGAGAAAAAGGTAAAATCAAAGCCACTATTTGTTCTTCCTTTACCTTTTCCTCAAAGATTTGTTAAGAAGAAGATTGATGAAGAATATGCTAAGTTTTTAGAAGTGTTGAAGCAATTGCATATCGATATCCCATTTGTGGAGATGCTTGAAAATATGCCTAGCTATGCAAAATTTATGAAGGAAGTATTTTCTAAGAAGAAAAGATTCCATAAATTTGAAACAGTAGCACTTATTGAAAAGTGCTTTTTCATGATGAAACAAAAGATTCTACCAAAGGCTCTAGATCCAGGACAATTCATGGTTCCATGTAATGTTAGAGATATTTTTAATGGTAATGCACTTTGTAACCTAGGAGCAAGTGTGAATTTGATGCCACTTTCTGTGTGCAAGCAACTAGGTTTTGGGATTGCCAAACCCACCACTGTTATCTTAAAATTAGCAGATCAATCCTTACAATATCTAGTGGGGGTTCTTGAAGATGTCTTGGTGAAGTTAGATGATTTAATAATCCCAGTAGATTTTATTGTGGTTGATTTTGAGGGGGATAAGGAAGCACCACTCATTTTCAATTGTCCTACTTTAGCAATAGCAATAACTATTATGGATATTTATAAAGGAGAAATTATCATGAGGGTATTGGGAGAAGAATTCAAATTCAAGGTTTTAAAAGAGACAAAGGGAAGAAACAAAAAATGAGTAAAGAATGAGAATGCACAAGAAGATGAACAAATTAGTTCTGGGAGCCTTGCAAATGCCATGGTGTTCAATAGGAATGAATGGAATCCACCTTAACAATCTAAGAAAGTTTGGCTGAAGACTATAAACTAAGTGCTTTTTGGGAGGCAACCCAAGTTTTATTTCCTTTTTACTTGTATTTTTTTTTGGTTTGTTTATTTAGTTGTCTTTGGTTTGATCTTCTTCTATTTTGGTGTGTTTGCAGGAATGTAGAGTTCTTGTTATAAGCTCAAAGCCAAGTTTTGGAATCAAAGAATGAGCCAATAATATTTTGAGGGAGTATTCTATCATTGTGCTTAATTAATGATATTTATATATGTTTATATGGGATCAAGATCTTATGTTGATGAATTTTTGGATTGAAAGTTGTTAATTAAATGTTAGGAGGTGTGGAAGCGGGTTTGGTTTGATGATTGCATTGATTAGGAGGTGTTTAGGCTATTTTATTTACGTATTTTTGCTTTGTTTGCATAATTTTTTGAGATTTTGAGTATTTTTGTTCTTTATTTTGTTCACTTCAACAAAAGAGGATTTTGCCCTAGTAAAGGGTCTCTTTGTGTTCTTGTCAAAAATTCTAGAGAGCACCTTTGCTACAGCAAAATCTCATTTCGCTCTAGTAGTAGATGTCTTTGTGACTTGTCATTAAAAATTCTAGAGAGCACCTTCACTGCAGCAGAATCTCATTTTGCTCTAGCAGTAGATGCCTCTATGACTTTTTACCAAAATTCTAGGGTGCACCTTCGCTAAAGCGAAACTTTGTTTTACTAGAGTGAAGGACTATTCTGTGAAATGTTTAACCAACTTACAGAGAGCACCTTCGCTAGAGCAAAACTTTGCTTCGCTAGAGTGAAATCTTTGGTTGAGTAAAAAAATAATTCTTAAATTTTTTTATTAGTTTAATAAGAATAAATTTGTAAATATTTGTTAAAAAAATTCATATTTTAAGAAAAATAAAAAATTAATTCTAAAATATTTTGTGAAAAAAGATTGAAAATATCTTTAAAAAAAACGTGTTGCTTTGTTTGTGTGTATATTTTTTTCCTCATACATTTAAAATTTAAAAAATATTTTCTTTTCTTTTTACTACTTGCACCATTCTTGTTTTGATTTCTATTATAAAGATTTACTCTTCTCTTGTTCCTTTAGTCATCAACCCTCCTATTTTGTGATATTTGGTCGCACTTATCTTGTTATCTACTGAAGGATGACATGCTTTTACTCATAGTTGGATGGCTAAGAAAGGGCAAACATCACAGAATTCCAATCAAGTATCATCAAATGAAAGTTAAGCCATCTAGATGAAACAACAATTGGATTCTATGCAAGATTTAATTAAAAGAATGGAAGAGAATTAATGTGCTGGATTTTGAGCTTTGAGCTCCATCATTGACTCCTTCTCTTGCTAGTCTTGTTATTTCCCTGAGCTTCTATTCTGATAGAATTCTATCTTTTCTCTTATTGTTAGATTTTTTTTTTCCCTTTTTCTTTGACTACTTAGTTTGGCTCTTATTCTCTTAGGATTGTAATTGATAATTCACAACTTATTATTTGATGGTCTGTATCTAATTTATTTATCTCTAATTTATTCACTTTTCTATTTGATGCTATTAGTAGGTACCATATTCTCTTAAGAATATGTCACTCTCATCTCTCTCTCAAAGTCTTTTTATTTGTCAACTCGCCACATCTATTGGTCAGGGGAGTTTCAGTGTCCCTAGCTCCTTATTTGTTTTCTTTCTTTAAACACTAAGAACAATGTTTAATTTAAGTGTGGGGGAGGAGGTACTTGCTATTACATTTGGTATTTTTCTTGTCCTTGAATTTTTTTTTAAGAGTTAGTTGTACAAATTGTACATAGTAAAAAAAGGATAAAAAAATTTAAAAATGTTGAAAATCTCATAAACATTTTGTTTTAGTCATTTTGTTTGTTTGTTTTTCTTATGAATGTGACTAAGGTTGGATTGATTTGAGCTTGAAAGAATTAAATTTGATTAGAAGTCAGTCCTACCTTCCTAGAATTTTAGTAAATAGGTAATGGATTAAGTTTGGATAATTAATAATATTTTGTCCAAAAAGCTTGTGAGAATTTTGAGCCTAAATATTCATTTTTTTAAGAGGGAGTATACTTATTGAGATTCCATCTCTAGAACTTGTTTTAAATCTTTGTTGAGACTTGTAATAGCCATTTGCATACATAAAAATGATTTAGGCATTCATTTTCTTAGCTAATATGGCTAAATATCCATCCCTTTTTCACATAAATTATTTGTTTCACCCATTTGAGCCTTGGCCTTATTTTAAAAACAAATCATAAGCCCTTTTGCTAAGATTTTCCCACTTTTTATCCATTTTTATTTTGATTTACTACTTTGGTAAATGCTAAGTGTTACATCTATGAAAAGAAATAAAGGACTTAGAATTTAGTTGGGGTTTCTTTAGTGGTTCAAAAGAAAGAGAAAAAGGAAATAAAAGAAGAGAAGATGAAGAAGAGAAAAGATTGAAAGTTTAAAAAAATGATAATGAATAATATAAAAACAATCAAGTGAAAAAAAATATTGATCTTCATTGATGACTCTTGTAAATAGTTATAGTTTCTCCTTCAATTTTCTTGCTTCTCATTTAATATGCTTAGCACTAATTAGAGTATGTAATTTTGACTCACTGAATAATTTCATTTCGTTATCTTATCTAAAACATTACAACCTTTCAAAAGTCCTTTAGATTTATGTATGCAATGGCATAATTTAGTGGAGATTAAGATAAGAAACAAGCCTATGGTAGATGAATTACAATAGGTGGAATTGAGTGAAACACAACCCTTAGATACCTTGATTGTAGAGTGTAAACACTTGATTGGTGAGGGATAATCTATTAGAATTTATCTTTGCTTAATTAAGTGCCTTGCTACTATTATTTTTGGAAGGGAGGAAAGATTTCTAATTAAATTGAATTCTTGGAAGTTTAAATTGCATTTGACCTTGAAATATTCACATTTGTTTTTTCCATTTTTGTATAGTTATTTTCTTTTGCTTGAGGACAAGCAAACATTCATGTGTGGGGGTTTTGAAAAACATTCAAGCAACCTCTTTCTCTATTGTTAGTGCACTTTCTTTCTTCCTCTTCTCACCTCCTATGTGAACTTCTTTTTTATTGTCCTTTTTCCTTTGAACAAATTCTTCACTACTCTTGACACCATGAGATAATCCTTGACTTTGTCCTTGAAATGTTCAAGATATGATATATATGATGCATTTTTGTTGATGATAAAGTTCCTTATTAAACTATCCATATATGTGTTAATAGTTGCAATTGAGATATATATCATATTTAGGATTGAAATAAAAGCACTCATTAGAGATATGCAATGAAAATCATGAATATATGAAAGTGATCATATGTAGATAATTTTATATATTACTTTGTTGAGTGATTTCCTTTTAAGGAAATTTCTGAATCATTTTAAGAATTCTTGGAGATCAATTATGGAGGAATTTTTGATGAAAATAATATTTTATTAAAAAGACTTTCTAAATATAGGTACATATTTTTTTTTTGAAGTCTTAATAGTTAACTTATTTACTTCTAATTAGAATGGTAATATATGATAATCTTTATATCCAATGATGGTGAAATTTAGATCTAATTAGATAATTATGATTAATATATAAGGAATGAAATATTTCATATCGCCTTAATTGTTGAAAATATCAATGCTACAATGTTGATTGATTGTAAATGCTAAAAAGAAATAGCAAGAGTTTTAGGGTATTTATAGAAAATTATGAACTTAGAACTACTTGTGTTTTGTTTCCTAGAGAATTTAATAAGTTATTAAGAATTTTTATGATATTGGAGTCGTATTAAAATTGTAACCAGAAGTTTATAATTCTTAGTAAACTTTCAGTTTATTGTCACTTTAGTTTAGTATGCTAGAAGTATAATGATATTATTTGGGATTATTGGTTAGATCATCCTAGATCAATATTGATGCAAGAATTATTGAGAATTCACAATGACATTTATGGAAGAACTAGAAGATTCTTTCTAAATAGCTAACACATTACGTGCTTCAAGAATTCTCATGTGCTGTTTAAGAAAAACTATGATACTATCACTAGCAATAATTGGGATTGGATCCCAGATATTTATGGAATATGTTGAGTGAAAATGGGCCCATTTAGATACCATGTGAACCATGCAAATATTTAATGAGATTGATAGATCCATCTATAAGATGGTTACAAATGTGTATCAATTCACAATCAAGAGTTTGTGAAAGAGAAAGAACTATTATGTGCACAACTGCTGATATAGTGATCAAGATAAATTACTTAAAAATTCTAATGGTTTCATATCTCAAGTTCTCATTGATTATGAGATGAAGAAAAGCCTATTCATTAGAATGGTCTATTAAAGGTCATTTATGCCTCCAATAAGATGATTAGACCAAAATTTATGACAACAAGTTTTCCATTTAAATATGCAAGTTTACAATTGTATCACTTAAAAGCATCAAGCCAATAAAGTATTGTGAATACCCCTACTATAATTTGGCCTTCTGTCAAAAGCCAAAGATTTGAGACTTTGTGATGAAGGCTCCACCACTATGTATGGAATACATTTTCAAAAGAAAGTTGAGAATAATGCCAAAGTCTTTATAGTTCAATAGAATTTAATTAAGTTGTGATGTGTGGCACAATTCATGGATTCAATTTGTGCTGCAAGCATTCATCTTGTGAACCCACAATAAGGTTGGGAATAAATGTTAGTTAAGATTCTTCTTCTTCTTGTTTGTTTCTAAATGAAACAAAATGATGTTTCTATAAGAAATAAATGGAATTAGAAGGCTTATACTACATGGTTTGTAATCCCAAAAAGGGGGAGATGATGAAAAGCTAGAAATGAAAATATATGAATGCATTATTAATATGTTGTATAGATCCTCATATATAAATCAAAAGTTTATATAACGTTACATTCATGAAATAAAAAAATTGCCATATATGTAAATTTTGATAGAAAGAAGAAATTTCAAATTTATGCTCCAGCTAATAATACTCCACAAATATAAATAAAAATAAATCATACCTGAAGCGTGGAAGGTTAATCAATTGCAAAGAAAGAAAATATTATAAAGGAGTAGACAAGTAAGAGGATTATATTAAGGAGGCTAACATTCTAGAAGAAGCCAAGACATAACTAACTTTAAGTCTCCGAAGAGGATCAAGTACCTGATAATAATAAAAAGATATTGAGAAG